TCCAGGTAATACTACTATTACCAATCCTGTCCGTGTTGCTAGTACCAGCACAAGTGCCAGTACTGGTACGTGTAACATCATGACTACGAGTGTGACTCTGATGATCACTTCGATTACTAAGATTACTACTCCAACTACTCTAGCTATTTGTCACTGCTGCTATTACTATCACTATTGCTACTGCTAGTACGGCTCGGGGTGCAGACGTCAGGGTTTAGCGGACAGGTGCCCGGCAACCGCAGCAGAGCGCACTTGCGGTTGCCCCCGACACTGTGGCGGAAGAGCGTTCGTGGGTTAGGGATTTAGGGTTCAGGGGCTCAGCGTTCATGAGGGATTGCCTTTGCAGTCTTCTAGTTTGTACAGTGTTGCCATGTTTAACTTACTGGACGCAGCACGGGAAGGCGTGTTCAGATCTTTCATGTGCTTTCGATCAAAACTAGGTTTGCAGGGGAGGTTTTTGCGAGTTGGGGTCCACAGTGCCAGGTGTCGGCTCGGTGTTTCAGGAAGATGCTTCGAAAGTCCAGAGAGCGAAGCTGCGATCTTGCGGATATGGTTGTTTCGGGGTACAGCTGGTGCACTGGTCTTGTTGAACGCGATGAGATTCAGGTGAGGTGGGCTGTTGCCAGATCTAGCCGATAACCCTCCAACTCTGCGATTCTGTGTAGTTCGCAGACACTGTTGTGACTGATCATGTGCTGGAGTTTGACTGAGGACCCCACACTCGCCAAAGGCTGGCTCAGCTGCATTCGACCGCCCACTTGTAGGTTTGGCATGTCACCTAGTGAAGTCTTGCAGCCGAAATCTCAATCCGTCTATCAATCTCAGAAAATGTACCTCGGCTCCGCACATCCCTATCCTCATCATGAAGACCCTTAAAGGAGCCCCTCTTCGCCACTCTTGGCAGGTGCACCGGCTGCCAGTTGCTGCCCTGGCGGCGGCAGCCTTGGTGAATTCTACGGCAACCACGTCACAGGCCGAGAGGGCGGTTTCGCGTTTAGAAGTTTAGACCTTCAGTCTGCTTGAGGAGGCTCCCTGCCAAGAGCGCAGAGGGTTGAAAGGTATCAGAACGGCAAACTCTTTCTGCATGGACTCGTCCCAGTTCCGGGCCCGGGAGGCAACTACCATCACTGCCACTTTTTACATGCCACCTACAAGGACGGGTGCGGTCAGTTCTTGAGCAGCAAGCACCTGTTGTTGTTCAGTGTGTCCGTCAAGATTGAAGGCCATTCCCAAGAACACGCGTGCCGCTTCTGAGTTTTCATCCCATGGGAAGCTGCTGTTTTGTTTCGGGCAGTCTCCACCTCCCAGGACCGCCACCGTCACCACAGCATGGAGCCCAGTTCACCTAGCACATCTACTGCGCGGCTTTTCTGGCATTCTGCGCTGCCGGAAGTGGGAATGCCCATGGTCAAAATGCCCAGCATGTGCTTTAGGCGCACCGAGAAATAGGCCAGACCTTCTTGTCTCATTGAGCTTATGGTGGTCGAGGTTTCAATTCCGTCATCCGTCGCAGGGCTGTGATGTTCCCATGTCGATTCCTTGTAGCTAAGCCCAAGGCAACAACTCAATTGTGGACGTCCGTAACTTGGACCTCCGTCACCTGGACTGCTGAGCCCACGAGGACCAGGGCCACAGCAATGCGCACGGTATCTAAGTCGGATAGACGCCACAGACATCGCTTCCAGATCAAGACGGACGCTGATCATGCAGGTTCCCAGTTTAGGGCACAGAGTCTATGGCATAGAGTCGGGCGAGCTTCCGTTCAGGGATTTTGAGGATTGGGTCTTGTTGCCAGGTGGGCTAAATTACAATTTCTCTAGGAGGATCGTGTTTCAAAAGCCAAGAAACAGACATACACAGTGCATTAAGACTAGCATGGTCCAGTGTCAAGCCGGTTGTTTTGAAATGCTGAGAATAGCGCGAGACGAACCGAAATAGTTAAATAGCAGCTATCAGAACAGAACAGTACTAGCCATACTGAGGGCATTGATTCCGGTTGTTGATTGTGGTTCGGACGGAAGGTTCGCACCTCGGAGGACTGCCACCACTGTCACAGCTACCACAGTCACAACGAACACGGTCCGGGCACCCGGCATTCGTGACCCTGCCAAGGGAACCAAGGTAGAGAAGATTCGCAGACATGAGTTGCAGAGCTCCGCAGTCGAGATGGTGCGGCGGTCGTGAAGCCGAGTCTATCCTGCACCTGCATGTCCGTGGTGGGTGCTTCCGGCACCCTTTCCAGAGCAGAGCTTGAACCAACAAGATCTCAAGTCGTCCCACCATTGGGGATCCTTCTGATTTCTTGCGTTGTGCCGAGGCCACCACCCTCACCTGGACGTCGGCCACTGCGATGTTGTACATCCCATCAACGAGGAGCACCCTTAAATCCGAACTCCAACCGCTCGCATCACTCGCCTCGTCACAACCTCGACCGACAGTGCCGAAGTTACAAGGCAGCAAACCCCAAACACATGACTTTCCGTAGGACATTCACCTCAACGACCATGACGTCAACCACTGCCGCTTCCTTAGAGCATGTCGGAGAAATCTCGTGGCGAGAGGTTACGAGATCTTGGGCGGAGTGCTGAGAGCGATGGATCTATTGTTTCACGAAAGACACACCGGCAGGAACGCCGAGCTCTGCAACCTAAACCCAGATCCTCCCGGCCGAGATGACCAGCAAATGATGTTGGGGTCGGGAGAATTGGCTCAATTGAATTCAGTTTCCCTGCGTGCTCCTCGATTCATATTGCTGTATCCTTCCAAACCATTTTCTAATTCCGAAGGCCCCTCCTAGACCCTAAACCCGAAACTCTATCTTGCACACCCTGAAGCCGCCTCTCCGCGCCCTCCCGGCGAAGCTCCCTTGAGGTCACGACTGCCGCGGCTTTGCCCTTCTGGTTTCCCTGGCAGCAGACAGGCCCGGGGCGGGATGCAGATGTTGTACCGTTATACTATAGTAACTATAGTAGTTTATAGTATGTTATAGCATATCACAGTATGTTGTAGTATATTAGAGTATATGGTAGTACATAGTATTATGTCAATCTCTTGTGCTACCTCTAGTCAGATCGCAAGAGGCTCAAAATAGGACAAAAATAGGAAAAACATGGGAATCCTGGTTTTTCGGAAATACAAATAGAATAGGAGAAAAATAGGAGAAAAATAGGACCTGCCCGCACTCCCTGCGCGACTTTCCACCCTGCGGCCCTCTGGTATTTACCTATTTTTCCTAGGTTTTTTATTTTATTCCTAGTTTATTCCTATTTTTCTCCTATTTTTCTACTATTTTTCTCCTAGTTTATTCCTATTTTTCTCCTATTTTTTCCTATTTTATTCATATTTTTCTCCTATTTTTTCTCCTATTGACTGTCCTTTCCTATTTTTCCTCATTTTTCTCCTATTTCCAGTAAACCCTGAAGTCCTAATTATTTCCTATTTTTCTCCTATTTCTGGAAATCATAGTTTCTCTAGACTTAGCACTCCTGAGATTGACATAAACATAGTAGTACGTTATGGTACATTATAGTATGTTGCAGTATGTTAAAGTCTGTTATGGTATACCGTATATCATATGCCATGTTTTATTCATCAAAGCCGTGTTTCGTTCAGGTTCGCTTCGGTCTGGGACGGTCTTGAATCGCTTCCATAATGCTTGACGGTTCCTGGCGGTTCGCTTCCGGTTTGCGGTTCGGTTCGCAGCCCTATCGCATAGCATCGCATAAGCATAGTCTAATCTAGTTCGGTCAGTCTAGTATAGTCTAGCCTAGTCGGGTATAGTCTAGACCAGTTTAGTCGAGGCGAGTGTTGTATTTTAGGTTTATCTTGTAGCAGTTAGTTCATCTTGTAGCAGTATTGAATATTATCGTATACCGCAGTGTAGTACAGTATGCTGTAGCACAACATCGTATACTATAGCATGAATAGTCATGATCGCATGTTTTAGTATACTAGCGTTTCTGCTGGCACATTGTAGCATAGCAGAGTATACTATAGCCTCGGGTTTTCTCAATTGGGCCTCGGGCCCTGTTGCCCTTGAGATGCTAGGCCATGGCTTCGATAAACCACCCGGGGAGGGTAGGGGTTGTCCTTGCCGTCTTACATAGGTCGCTAGTTGGGTTGCACGCGAGATCAACAAAAATCTGCCCGGGTGTGGCACAATGCTTGCAACGAACCCAATTAATCTAACCAGTGGCAACGTGAAAGTCATGCAAAGTGTGGAGACCGTTTCGTGGAGCCGTACGGAGTTGTGGACATGCACGGGCGTGGTCGTCGGGCACAGGAGTTAGCATACCTCCTGGCCCCCCGCTCCTCCTCCTCCTCCTCCTCCTCCTCCTCCTCCTCCGCCTCCTCCTGCTACTGTCCCAAGAAGCATGCAATACATCAACCCGTTGCTTGTTCGGCCGTGAAAGCAAGATTCCTTGATGAATTTTCATGACCATCCAGGATATAGAGTGCTTTGCTGTACCTCGCACCACATTTCTCCAGCATGCCTTTCTGGAAGGAATTTGCAGTGGGCTTGGTGTCTGGCTGTCTACTACTGTAATTACAGAGAATCACAGTAGATTATCGTAGATGATAGTAGATCATAGTTGGTTATGTTACCTTACAGTATATTCCAGTATAGTTTGTGCTAGTATTCCACAGGAACCGCCGGCAGCAGCAGCAGTCCTGCTCCCAAGGAGCCTGCGCGGCAGGCCGTTCGGGGTGTAGGGTTTTCGCGTTCAGAGTTTAGGGTTCAGGGTTTTAAGGTTTAGGGTTTAGGGTTTAAGGGTTTAGGGTTTAGGGTCCGCGTTTTGGAGGAGGTCAAGAGCTTGAAGGTTAGGGGATTGGGGGATGCCTCGCCCTGATGTCTGGATGCTAGTTTCCTCGGCCTGTTTTAGCCAGAGGGTGCCGCCCTTCCGGACCGTGGCATATGCAGCTCAGATGTGTAGCATGCCATCTTCCCTCGGCTGCCCATGCTATGATTGTCATATCGGATTGCAGCCACCTCCAGCACAATGCTGAAGTTCATCAACATAGCAGGGGACGTGGTGGTGGAGCTTCACCCAGACACTTTCTCTGGCTCGAATTCTTTAGTTGGCGAAGTCACAGAGCGCCTGTCCAAGATTCTTAACTTTTCCAGCTTCGGCATCAAGTTGGTGAGCTCTGGGACTGTTCTCGCAGATCAACAGTCCTGGCATGAGCTTGGCAAGCCGCAAGAAATTCAGCTGGTAACTCTGCCACTGGTCACCCATTGTGAGCGGGACTTGTTGGCAGCCGTGCGCAGGGAAGATGTCTGCAAGGTCGAGAAGATCCTGCAGAAACCCCATGATGCTGCCTGTACATACCCTGACGGCACGCCCATGTTGGTTGAAGCCAGCCGCAAAGGGAATCACGAAATCGTGAAGCTGCTGCATAGAGCCCTTGCAGACATCAACTCCACTGGCAGGAACGGCCGTACTGCTCTGTACGAGGCAGTCGCCGCCTACAACCTTGCTCATGGGCATTTCGAAGTTGTGCACTTCTTGGTAGATGCTGGAGCCAACACTGACCAGCCGGACTGGTTAGGGAACACGCCCCTGCACGCAGCTGTAAGTGGTGGGGGCGGATACAACACTGAAGTTGTTCGCCTACTGCTCAAAGCCTCCGCGGACATGGACCAGCCCAACAGCCAGGGAGTGACTCCCTTGCGCGCCGCTGCCCGCTGGGGCCACGTCGAAGACGTGAGTGCCCTGCTCGATGCTCAGGCAGACCCGAACAAGGCCATATCATGTGGTTGTACTTGCGAGTCAGCGTTTGGAGCCGCACTTTCCTAAGCCGATTCTCTCGGGACCGGCTAAGCAGGTCCGAGGTTCACTGTCGCATGACACGCATTCAATGAACAGGGAAGAGAGACTTGTGAGATAGTCTGTGACTCAGTTGCAAGAATTAACTCCCCCCTGCAGCCGCTTAGCCACTAATCCTCTGACGATTTATACATCTTTACAAGGCCGATGCTTCCCAGGGCACGCCCCTCTTGGCCGCCGTCCAGCGGGGCAACGCCCGCATGGTCCGCCTGCTCGTGGAGAAGCGAGCTCAGGTACCGAGGGATCCGAGGGAGCCGTGAGCAGCCGGGAGTTTGGACTTTAGACCCATTGAACTGATAGAAGGTTATTAAAGTATACTATGGTATGATATGGTATGACATAGCATAATATGTCTATGGTATACTATCGTACATCAAGCAAGGGCAGCACGAGCTGCCTGCAGAGTGGCTTCCCATGAGGTGGATCAGGGCCAGCAGCACGAAGCCCCGCTGTTTGCAGCGATCCACTCGCAGCACGTGGATATTGCACGCTGTTTGGCTGATGCGCAGGCAGATGTGCAGAAGACGAGCTCTGATGGGATGACACCTCTGCATGCTGCAGCGGCCCAGGGGCACTTGCCCATGGTGGAGTTTCTGGCGAAGGCGAAAGCATCGGCTGATGTCAACAAGGCCGATGCCACAGGCGACACCCCGCTTTTGTCTTCGATCTGGCTGGGATTCTCCGATGTGGTCCGATTTCTGATCGAGTGCAGATCTGATGCGGATGTTGCAGACAAGTCCAACAACACACCTCTGCACGCAGCGGCAACCCAAGGTGACGTGGCCATTGTCGGAGCCTTGCTTCAAGCCCGTGCTGATCCAGATCGACGCAACGACGACGGTGAGACGGCCTTGTTCACAGCGGTCTGGTCGGACCATCTCGAAGCCGTGCAACAGCTCCTGCAGGCAGGTGCCGATATGCACGTGCTGGATGGGAAGGGCAGCAGCGTGGCCCACATCGCTGCTCGGCTGGGTCGAGCTCCCCTGGTACATGCGCTCCTCGAAGCTGGAGCCGATATGCACCGCGTGGACTGTCTCATCCTCAGTCTGCCGAGGGGAAAGTTATGCAGTTATTGCAAGTATATTATCAGATACTCGGAACTCCGTTCTGATTGCTATTAAGACCCCTGTATTGCCCGATGCAACTCTAATTCTGGCATCGTTGGCCTAAAGACTGCATTGCATGCTTGTGCGCAGTTGTCATGTCCCGCAGAGGTCAAGGTGCCACGCCTATGCAAGAAGCTGAAGCTGCTGGGATCTTGTTAAGGGGTTTACTTTAAGTCAACATCATAAGGAAACCCTATTATACCCTATTATGGTAACTCTGATTAGATTCTGAAACAAGAACCCAGGCTGGGGGACACCAGGAGGTTGTGGATCTTCTGTTGGGCCGGACTGATGCCAGAGAAGCAAGCTACCTGTGAGAAGCGAGCTGCCTGTGAGGCTCGGCCGTGAACCAACAAACAGCATACTCACTCGTAAGAGGCATAAATGAAGCATACAATCTATATGCGATACATGTATCTAGAAGGAAAGCGAAGATGTACCTCAGCATGCACTAGGAAGAGCAGTTACAGAAAAGACAAGTCATCCACAAGACTACATGACAAGCCAGTACTAGCAGTTTACAGTTATCTCATCGACCAATCTACTATTTGCAGCTGCAAGGAGACGAGGAAAGACATCCTCCTCCAGCCAGCATGTTTGCTGTGGGCCTAGATTAATGACCTGAAAGAGCACATGACATAACGATCCCGCATTTGGCACTGAACGTCACACTCAGAGACGACCCAACAAAGGTTCTTCGGGATCCTTATGTTCTTGTCCTCACTTGGGTCTGTAGGGAAGAATCGAAGCAGCTCGAACAAGCACAGCCCCAAAGAGGCAACGGCAGTTCCTGTGAGGACAGTTGGCTGAACATCTCTCAGCTCAAGGTCACTTCGGCTTAATTTTCGCAAGGCTCAGGGGCTACGTCGCCACCTTCGCTAAGGGCGCATCCAGTCTAGATGTGGATCTCCGAAGCAGCATATCCTCAACCCTCCCTCTGAATTTCAATCCGCCAATGCCCTCTTGGAAGCCGTTGCTTTGCTTAGTCGAATGTCCGGGTATGCTTCAAGTCAGGATCCATTCACGTCTTTGCTCTGGGAGACGGGTCTCGCATGCTTTCGAGATGTGGCCACTCAGTGATTTGAAGCAGAGGAAGGTCTCTGAAGCAGCCTGCCCTGCTGCGGGAACGAGGGGACAAGAGGATGACCAAGGCCAAGTTTGGAAGTCATCGTTCACCCCGTACGTCGCAGTATTGTCTTGTTTTGGGCCTTGATGAGATAGGATTCAGAGGTTCGAGAGGTTGCACATCTTCCAGTTCAAGCAAGTTGGGATGCTTTGAGTGTTGGGTTTGGCAGTGTTGGCATATCCATCCGTAGTCTGCTTTAGGATGCAAGCATCCCCTCGTTCCAAGCTGAAGGGTGTGCCTTTCATCTGGAAGCGAGCCCCACGCAACCCAGACACCTTTGTAGAGCCCGGCACCTGACAAGTTCACCAGCGTGCCGACAAAAAGGAGGATGCTTCAGGGTAGTTGCATGTAATTCGGTTTACGGCTGGGCAGTGTATGTTCAGTCTTTAGGTGATGTTGGTAGTGGGGCTCTTTACCGTTCCGCTGCTTCTCGCGTTTACCAGCTCTAGCCATCTCTGGCGCAAGACCTCGACGTGATTGTTTAGGCGAGTGTTGCTATCTCCTTTAGGTGTGAAACAACAACGGGCGTAAAGCCCCGCAAGTCTTGACACCAACCCTAAATCCCGAACCTCAAACCACCAAAGCATACCAAAGCCCTCAGCACTCTGTGAACTTCTGTCAAATTCCATGAATGCTAAAGTCCCCCCCCCCTCAATTGATTTCTATCGCGTTCCCGTGACTTTCGCGTGGTACCCCAACCTTGTTCTACTTATTTACATCCCCTGTATCATTAGCCACCAGGCCGGCTTGGTGCTTGAGATCAAGGGCCTGGACTACCGGCAGCTCACGTTCGCTGGCCCAGAAGTGGGTCCATGACGGCGACGATATTGATGATGATGTTTTGATTGCCGCTGCTACCACTACCACTACAACTACCACAGCCGCACCCACCGCCACCGCCACCGCCACCGCCACCGCCACCGCCACCGCCACCGCCACCGGCACCGCCACCGCCACCGCCACCCCCACCACCACCACCACCACCACCACCACCACCACCACCACCACCACCACCACCACCACCACCACCACCACCACCACCACCACCACCACCACCACCATCACCACGTATTCCTGCTTTGCTACTACTACGACGCTGCTGTTACTAATACTACTACGACGACAACTACTACGGGCGACGATTACTACTGATACTCAAACTGACACTGATACTGACACTGACGATAGTAATGCTATTTCTGACAAAAATGCACAGTGCGAACTACCAACTGCACCAACAAAACCTTGAACCCTAAGCTTTGAACCCGAGGAAGTCGACGGAGGATGAGCAGCACGAGGTAGAGGAAGGCTCCGCTCCGCTCGTGGGGCTTAGGCTTTCTGGGCTTAGGGTCGAGGAAGGGGTTGTTTCGTTCGGGGATTGATGTCAGGATGTGCGATCGAATGTTTCGAGTTAAGGAGAAGCGCTTCCGATTTGGGTCGATTTGGGCTTGAGGATGTCATGTTTGGGATGCTGGGATCAGGCTCCAAAGCGCTTCAAGGTTCAGGAAGCGTGCTAGCCCCTGCAGCAAGCTAACATAGGGGCCTAAATGATTGCCTATACTATTTTGGAGGTTCCTCATTATAATGAAAGTTTAATGGACCCCCAACAGCCTATTTAAAAAACCATTAAGTCCCCGATATTCTCTTGAGCACGGAAGGCCTCCGATCTGCGATTGCCTGGCGCGCTGGTCTGGAGAGAGGCCCAGCCGCTGGGGTCTTGATTTGGAACCTGGCCGAGGTGCCCCGCAGCTGTAGAATCTATAGAAGTCCAAAGCCGCTAAGCCTCGAGGGTTTCGCAGCTGCTTCAGTACAGGCCTACCCAGGCCTTGAAGTACAATCTTTTTCAAGACCTGCCAGGTCGCAAAGTCGAGGTTCGTGAGATGGACCTGTCGCCCCTCCCCGGGTGCTCCGGCGGCAATCTGCGGATCAAAGCCCGAAATCCGAACAACCTTTCTGGACGGAGTCATTCTTCGGTGCTGATGCTGATAACGCAGTCTGATTCCGACCCAATCTATGGTCAGTCTGAATCCTACCAGAAAGTGGGGCCCAAGAACCCAAGGGCGGTGATGGTTCGCTCTACATTGACCTCACCGAAGCTTGGCACATGCTGGCTTTGCTGATAGGTTCCACAGTTTCCAGCATCTGAGCTTTCAGGTGTGGGTACTGCGGGGAACTATGGGGTTCGGAATGGTAGCTAACAACATTCCGTGATCGTCCTTATATGATTGCACTGCAGCATCCCCAAGACTCTATGCCAATCGTTCAGGCTCATGTCCAGTATGAAGCTTTCGGTCCGATTTCCCGTCGTGAGGGTGCCGAAGAAAAATATCTGGATTGTCAAGGCACAGAAGGTTGGCACAGAAGATAAAGGCAGACTGGAAGGATTGACTACAGACTAGAACAGTAGCAGTCCCTTGCATGTTAAGGGTGTAGCTCCATGCCCGAGCAGGATGGCAAGCATAGTGACATGGTTTCGACCATGCGAGTAACCGCCAGGTAGGTACTGATCCGGATAGCATAAGTACTATTACTATTAATTGCACCCGCCCCGGAGTACTCGTTAGATTTGCCAGGATTTACGACTAGCTCGTAGGCGCTTCCAAGCGTGCCATTCTCAATTGTATCTAGCTGTGACGGTGTTTTCGAAGGGGGTAGACAGCGCAGGAATTGGAAGTCGATTCGTTCGTTGAGTGGTGCGATGTGTTGAATTGCTTCGTAAATCCGGACCGCCAGAAGCCCTCGGCCCCCGTGCCGTCTTTTGAACCCTCAGCTCCCAATGGTTCAGGAAGGGTCTCGACATGCAGAGACTGCAGCGAGGTCCTCGGTTCTTAGCACGGCAGGGCATCCGGGGACAAGGTTGCCACTCCCACAATCCTACTCCACATCCCAAGCTTGAATCTTAAAATCCTACGGAGGCTTGGGCCGAAAAAGCTCAAGCTGGCTTAAGCCTGTAGCTTCGGCGTGAGGTCGCTGAATCAGAGCTTGTGGAGTTGGTGATGCAAGTCGAGGGTTCATGGTTTACTTAAAGTTGCGCAGGGACAAAGGAAGTAGTTGACTAAGGACCAGCCCGAAAAAAGCATCGCACTCTCTGAGATAATTTGCCCCCTTCCCCCCCTCTACTGTGAAAAATGTGAAGCTCCAGACCCTGAAGAAGACTTTAGGCGTTGCAGCCAGAAAGCCGCTCAAGATCTCGATAAAGCAGCCTCAGCAGCGAGACTATGCATACATACGTACTGTATGTATGCATGCATGTACATGTGCATGCATGCACATTTCCCTGAAAGCTTGGGTTTAGAATACGACTCAAAGATTGTTCTGACCATTCAGATCCATTCAGGCCTTCCCTCGGGATGCTTCCCTGGCCCAGGTCATCCTTCAACTCGGCGGGATTCCAGCGGGATGTGGCTGACGCCTTGCAGTCGTCCCAAGCCGATGCCCTGGCTCTGATTGGATTCGGCCGGTATTGAGTTACTTGTGCTTGAAGGATGTGTTGATACTGATATCGCTTTCTGCTTCTTTCATTCGCTTACTTTCGGCATGAAGTCTAGAGGTCCGTATAGGTTTGAACGAGCATCGGTGATCCAACTTCACTGCAGTCTAGTCTAGTACCTTTTCCCCCTTCAGGGCCGCTTCGTCTTGCTGCCAGGTTGGGGTATGACGGTAGAATTGAGCTGAGGTCGCAGGGAGAGCCGTGGCAGGCCGGGCACATGCTTTCTCAAACATGGTCCCGGCTGATATTGGTCACGGAGTGCAGGATTCAAGATCTGGGTAGGCAAGATTTCTCTTGTGAATCGTCCCGGATAATTGCGTGTCATGGAAATGAAGCAAGCGTGGGAGCCGAGCAGGTTCCCTTTCTGTGGAGGGGATCACTGTGGCCCCGATCCTCCATAGCAGTGCAGCCACCTCGGTCTTTTCAGCTTGGAAAAATGCCCATAAGTTGTAAAGAAACGCATCAGAAGAATCATACGAATAGCGACTAGTGCATGAAAAGGATCAGCATTTTTGTGAGCTTCTCACATCAATAGTTCAAACAACGCCATTGCAGGGTGACCCGGAGATGTTTGCCATCATTGGGGTACTGCTTTGCGGAGGTGTGTGAATCTGTGTGCAGATGGCGGTTTTCAGCACCGTCTCGCCCAAGACTCCAGACTCCGCATAGAGGCCCCATGCCTAATTCGCTTGAGACGTTCT